GGCATGTGGTGCTGGGGGATTGAACCGTGGTCCCTGATGCTTTTGCTAAGCTTGTTCTAAGTAGGTGCTTTAGACCACTGAGCCATCTCTCCAGCCCCTTCTCTGATGTTTTTATCCCTGTCAGGAAACCTGTTTGAGGACTCAGTGACTAAGCTGTCCTATGGTACAGAAGACAATGAAGAAAATGGAGACCTGGAGTCTGCCCCAGGTAGTAGATACAAGTCTTCCTTTTGTGGGTTATGTGAGAAGGAAGAATCTGATTTGACTAGAATGTTTGCCTGTGACTAAGATGAAGATGGTTACTTCTCAGTATGTAATAATGATTTTTTGTCTGCTCACACTGTGATCTTGAAATAGGAAAGGTAATGCTCTACATTCTTGTCCTCCACAGCTACTACTATGCAGTCACAAATATTCAGAAAATATAATACCATAAGTTCAAAAGCTATTTTCAAAACCTGCATCTCCATGATGACAGAGAACAATAGAAAGTATGTTTTTTCATGCTGACATAGAGAGATAAAAGTCAATCATGATTTAATTAATATTGAGAGATTTTTTAAAAGGTAACTTAAATAGTAACTGAAATATACGGAGTTCACAAAACTTATAGTTACCATCAGCTTAGAGCTCTTCTCTGCAAAAAAGCAAAGAGCTGAAATTATCTAGCCTGACACTTCCCCAAGTGGTAAAAATGAACAGCTCAAGATAAATCACATGAAGAAAGGCTCAATGGAGAGGAAATACAAATCATAAAAGTAGTATCATGGGTTGGAACTGAGATCAGCTACTCGGGAGTGAGATCTCCTATCTCAGTGTTACCAAAACAGTCTTTCCCATCCACCACACTTCTATATACCTAATTGCTTCAGAAAGTACATGCAGAGCTTTAATTCTCCCTTTCAGATTCAGATTCATCTTCCTTAGTCTCTATTATGTGTGTATTACATATTTCAATCAGAATTATTACTGTAATATACTTGGAACTTAGAGCATGAATTTGTTAGTGTATTCTGGCATTAGAGGCTATTTTACTTTTTTTTTTTTGAGGAAGGGTCTACATGGTGTTCAGGATCTCACTACAAGTTCAGAGTCGTAGTGATCTGCCTATTTACAGCCTTCAAAGAGCTGGGATTACAGGTGTAAGACACCACACCCAGTCTCACTTTCCATCTAAGAGTGTCCCAGGGGTTAGGCCTGCAAGACAGGCCCCTAGGCCTGCTTGCAGGAGCTTTAATCCACTGAGATATTCTGCCAGCCCTATTAGAGGCTATTTTAATAAAATATT